TGCCTATATGTTTATAAGCATATTTTAAAACGTTTTTCATTCAAAATCACCATTTCTAACTTTCAATTTCGTCCGGGAAAATAAATGTACACTTATTTTTTAACCGAAACCAATTTAGTCATGTATTATTCCATTTGAAAGTTCCGCCACTTTCTTTAAATACCGAGTCGAGAATGTTCGTCATTACAGATGGAAATGTCTGAGCTGTTGCAAAATAGCGTCATTCAGTAATCGAATTCGTCAGTCGCATATCACTTAATTTGAAACTCGTGTTAAGCAAGTAAGTCTGGTGTGTGCTTGAGCATTTTCCTTTTGTCCACATAAACGATGTGACGCATTCGCTCGAATGATTGTATCTGACCAAGAAGAGTTAAAAAAGGAAAGATTACCAAGATCAACAATGCAATGCTACTTAACATACATACATACATACATACATACATACATACATACATACATACATACATACATACATACATACATACATACATACATACATACATACATACATACATACATACATACATACATACATACATACATACATACATACATACATACATACATACATACATACATACATACATACATACATACATACATACATACATACATACATACATACATACATACATACATACATACATACATACATACATACATACATACATACATACATACATACATACATACATACATACATACATACATACATACATACATACATACATACATACATACATACATACATACATACATACATACATACATACATACATACATACATACATACATACATACATACATACATACATACATACATACATAAATAAATATATATATACAAGAAAAGCAAAAGTCTTAAAATGAAAACAGGACATGTTAAAACCATGAATCGATAACACATAAATACCCTTGCAATATGCCTAAAATATTTGGTCTTACACATTTTAAGAAATGACACATCCAAAGAAATGACACAGTTATGTGAAAAAAATACGGAAAGAAAAAAAGTAGATTTATTCTTATCAGAGGCCTATATTATATGCCTTTAAAGATATCGCTATGAAGTACGAAGAAATTGAACAAAATTGTGTTAAAAATGTGTGGCATTAGACGAATTTGATTCTGAATTACACGATTCGGCGTAGACTAGACCGTGCGAATTCGAATACTCTGGGACAAAAACGTTTGTTTTGACTAAATTTGAAATTGTCTGTCCAAAGACGAAATTAAACATTGCAAGTGTACATAGTCGATGTTGCATATTAGAATCAGTGAACACGAAAGAGATAAATGTTTTAAAACGGCCGTGACAGCATATAAATTCAGGATATATTCCCAGCGGGCTTGAAACGCGGCATTCTGACGTAGAAAATTAGCTTATTAAAGACGGTGGGTAGTAGGATCGGTTGCACCAAATATGGCTGCTGCCGGAGTGCAAACAATCTGTCCTAGATAGTAATATACGTGTGAATAGAAATGTAATCAATATTAGGTAGTCAGTTGGTTGAATGTATGTTTTCAAAAATTATATTTGCACTATTATCATTTGTTGAAGACGAAATTCCCGACAAATAAATACAGACACGCACCAAAGACAAGCCCGATGTATCAATGTATAGACATTTCGTACGGAGCGTACTCGATTTAAATTTATGTGCCTTGAACAGCTGGTAGCCTCGCGTTATAGGCTTATATGACAAACGTAACCACTCTGCGTGACTGACTCCTTCGGATTATTTGCATGCTCACATAATTCATTACTATTTGCTTTGGAATCCCATCCATTGTTAAGATAATCATTTTCCCAGACAACGAGAAAACAAATAGAGGTTTTTTGTTTTACTGTTTTGTTTTTTTTACTGAGCTGGAACACTTGATGCGCACCCTATACAGTGTCACGGTCACACTTCCCTGGCGTGCTAGCTTCTCCAAGAGGGAAATTTCGCTTCAACATGCATGCACTTGAAGGATGCACATTTATTGTAAACCATGGTTGCAAAATTAAAGATAATTTGGACATGTGTTGCAACACGACCGAGTAAGGAACACAGCCCAAGGAGGTCGTTCTTAATTATTCCTCGATTAATGCACACGCCATGACAATGGGAAGACAAATCAGAATGCTTGCAATATGACCCACAGTGAGGAAGTATTACATAACACATTCTTGAATGCCCTCCACTGTGTTATTTATAGACTTGCATTTGGTTGACTTCAGAATACAGTCCGAGGGAAAAAAAAGTTAGCACAGCGTTCACTTAAACATGAATCGTGCTCATGTAATGGGCACTGCAACGTGCTCAATTATCCGCCGAATCCACTTGGAGAAGCTGGCACGCCAGAGAAGTGAGACCGTGACCCCGGTTCAAGACTGCGTCGTACACGCGCATGCGCCACTGATTACTAACACCCGTTGGCTCCACACACCACTTTGTTCCAATATCGGTTCCAATGGTTCCAATGCTACTCCGTGTGGCGAGGGCGTGGTTTAAGTTGCTTACGAACCGGATTGGTCTAAGGGGAATTGGGCGTATGCATACGTGCGAGGTTCCATCCAAATGCTTGCTACTTTCCAATTGAGGTCGCCGAATGGGTCTGTCTTGAATTACGAACTGGAAAGTCTGTTCTCCAGAAAACGCAGATGTTCCCGTTACTGTTTTCACAAACTGTGCGTGTCAATGTGTGTAACACAATCTGACCTATACCACTATAAAAGGAAAGAGGGAACTCAACCCAATCAGACTGCTCTTCGATATTTGACTGGACCACTTCAAGAGTTTAAACAAGGTAGGCATTTAGGCTTATAAATGCATAGGAAAAGTAAATGGTTGGGATTGTAGTAGACAACAACATCCAGTTGTGAAAACTTGTTAATTCAAGCTCACTTTCACAGGGCTGATGTTTAGAAACGCTTTGCGGTGTCGTCAATGTATATAAACGGCAAAGTATGGAAACCTCTTTTTTTTTCAAACGTGTAAGCACATCTGTCGTGAGATAAACTTGTATTTTCTTTTGTATTATTATTAATTACATGGCCCATTGGTTTAGGGTATATAAACGTTCTCTTTACATTTTGACCTTTCCCAAGAAACATTTGGGAAGTTGTTTTCGGTGGCTTTTTCCAAAGCACATGACAATTTACATTTGATTCTCATATGGACGTCATTTTCTGCATAATGTGATATTTTAATTACTGCAAAATTGTGTTTATCGATGTTCATCTGAAGATGTACATCTTTCCCTGCTGTCTATTCTTAAATCTAGTTCTTACATCATCATTATTTCAATAGTGTATGCACCTTAACGGTAGAGTATATCATTTGTCATGCATTTGTTTTCGTTTGAAACCAAACAAAAACTGCTCGAATTCAGCGCGTGGGGCAAAAGTTGCGTTACGCACACCTTTATTTCCGTAGGTTTGTATGGAAAGTTATATTTGTATGTCCGTAAAAGTAATATTTTTGACCTGAAGTAGTTATTTCTTTAACAAATCTGAAAATGGGTTGCCAAGCTGCATGTTCATTTCGAAGTTTAGTCCATTTTATTCCTCATATTTATTTTCCGTTTTAAAATGCTGGTGCGCGTTACTATAACAAAAAAGGTATTTAGTTGTTTATAATAAGTGTTTTGTGCTTCAGAGTTGGAACACAGTACATGTATAGCCCCCTAGCCTTCATCAACTTACCGAATAATGATCATTTTGAACGTCTTTTCTTCTCGTTCTTGTTGCGTTGTCCTTAAAGTTAAATTCAAGGCAGTTTTTAAGGGCAACACCCAGAACATTTTTTTCTTCATTGTCCCTCCTAAGGACATGACATACGCCGTCAAATTGAGATCAAATATTCCCGAAATAAACACAATAATCACACCCATCATCCGTACCCCTTAACCCATTCTTCCATCCGCCAATGTATTCAGAAGGAACAATCGAAAACGCATCCTCAAGTTTTCAGGGGCAATATTATTGTCATTAAACGTCATACATATAAAATGTAATTCAAGTAAATTGTTCTCATCCAAAAAGGATAATACTATTTATTGATCGTTTAAAACAATCTTTTTATATACATTTTAGCAGATAAGTGTGACATTTATTTGGAGATTTTTGAAAACGCGCCCCGCCAGTTTGAAACGAAAAATAAATACGAGGTAAAAATGGAGCAAACTTCAAGGTGACTATCCAGCTTGATAATACATATTGAATTTTGTTTGAGACATAATAACTACTCGTCAAAAGTACTTTTACGGACATAAAAATACACGTCTGTGCACAAACCTACGGGAATGTAGGTGCGCGTAACGCACGTTTTGCCCCACGCACACACTGCGTGTAGAGCGTCAATGACGGAACGCGAAAGTTTGTGTACACTCAATGGCGCGTATGAACGCTCTGCCGATCTAGTCGTTTTATAGACCGCTTGCAGATGCGTTCGATAATCAACGCGCGAAGGCGCGCGACGCCATGTTGTGGGACAGGCGTATATCTATCCATGCACATTTTGTCCCATAACATGGCGTCGTGCACCTTTGCGCGTCAATTATCGATCGCGTCTGCAAGCGGTCTATTCTATATTTCTGCACTGAACCGACACAAAAGCGCGCGCGGTTACGTTCTGTCAACGCTGGCGTGCACCAATGCACGGCTTTACCGAATAAAACACGAACTACTAACGGAAATGTCCAAAACTGCGTCTTTAGACGCATCATTTCAAATCAGCATATGTTATTGTTTTCTTCAAAATGACAGTATGCCAGAAATTATAGTTTCACAGGAAGTTTAGTCCCATAACTATCTTCAAACCTACTATGCTTTTGTAAACTAATTCCGTCATAAACTTTTGGGATAGCTGTAACTGATAATACTCTACCCTCAAAACAATATACAAGTCAACACCCAGTTTGAAGTTGTGTAGGGCTGCATGTGGGAAAAATAGGGACCATATGTCTCGTCACTCCTTTTATTGACATTATTTTTGTTTTTGTTTTAACTCTTTACTTGCAGATGAAGACAGCTTGTGTACTAGTGCTGCTTCTGCCAGCGATACTGGTTCAAGGATGTGTACCTGAAGGAAATAGTCAGTTAATTTTTTGATGAATTTCTTTAAATACCCGATTACATTAATAATCTTTCTTTGTTTTGCAATTAGCATGTTAAGGATATTAATAACTATTATACAAAATTCAGCAAGCCCATCAGCAGGGTAAATCAAAAGACAAAGCAAAATCAGTATCAGCTAGAGAGTATATACAGAATTCTATTCCATCCATTCGTAATTTCCATTTTTACAATGGACCGAATTTAGCCCACTCGTTCATTTTTTTTTTTTTGGGGGGGGGCAACCCTTCTCGATATCACTTTCCGACTCACAAGTGAAAGTCACACAGTCACTGATGTTTCGTTTCCATTGTTTGGTCATAATTTGGATTTACACCGAACTTTTTTTCTTAGAGATTGCACTCGTTTTATGTTAGCATAATATCCGGCATACATGTATTAGAAAAATGAAGGGCGTGGCGCAATTGCGGCAGTCGTATTATAACCACCACAGTCAACTGGCCATGTTATTTATAGAGAACGTCGGCGCTCCAATGAAACCGTTTACATGTACAAATGGACCTGAAATTTAGGGTTTTACAATAGTTCACGACGCCACGTGTTGCTAGAAATAAAAACTAAAAAAATATTGTCCGTCTTCTATTTGAAACTGACGTAAAGACAATCTTTTTTTTAAATGCTCGTTTAAGAAAAGGATGTCAGTACAGCTGCCTCTTTCGCTTAACCACCTTTAGTTAACCATTAACGATGTGAATGTCTTGTTGTTAGACAACTTAATCTATGTTATTTTACCGGCAGAGTGGGATATATTCCTGACCGAAGACACGTTCTCGGCAGATGACTCTTGCAAAGCCGAGGAAAGGTGCCGTGAATGTGGCATGCAGGTCTGCACACTTCCCCAGATGAAGTTAGCCTTTGAGTTCGAGTACCGAAACCTAGCGTTCGGTCTCTACCGGGGCTCGGAGTCCGACAACCGAAAGGCGCGCGTGTCGTCCTGCGATTACGACTTCCCAAGTCAGGAGTGCTTCTACGAGGGACGAGAGATCTTAACCGTACCCTTGTCGGACGGCGAAGAGGTGGCTGCCTATTGCTGTCCTAGCACCGGCCCGTCCCTCACCGTGTCCAAGTTTCACAGTCACGCGGAGGCTAAAGAGTCTTGTCCGGGCACCGGTGCCCGACTTTGCCCCTTGGTTTTGCTTGCCTACGCCAACAACCTGGGATACGCCACCGCTGAGTGGGGCTGGTACGCATCCCCGAATCTCTTTGCTAATGTCGAGGAGGATGAGCTGGTTGTCTGCTATGATCCTCAAGCAGGGCAGACAGCGAGGGCCGGCTACTGCTGCCCAATGGTTAACTCCTTCGTTTTGTCTGAAGACGAGTACGCCACTCACGGTGAGGCCCAGGCTTTCTGCGCTTCCATGAGGCTCCACCTGTGCTCACTCGCCGAGCTCAAGTCGGCCCGCGATCATGGCTTCTGGGGCCCTTCCTGGGGACGCTATGAAGTCGAGGGTCGCGACGTCAAGGTGTCCGACTGCAAGTACTGGTCTGGTCCCGAGTGTTACGAGGGCGTGATTGCCAACACACCCCGCCCTCGTCACACATTGCCAGCGTATTGTTGCCCGTAACGTTCTCCTGGCGTCCTCTAGCGACAGGAATACATTCAAGGTCTTCCTCATTTACACATTGAGTTGAATACCAGAGTGCATGCACAATTAGCTTTTAAGATTTAACATGTTTCACAGTAAGGCCAAAAAAAAAAAATATTCGGTCTCTGGTCAGACCAAAGTTCCGGAATTGACGCGGCCACGCGGCTTTTTTTTTTTTTTCCCTTTTTTTTTTTTTCTTCAAGCTTCGATTGTACAGACAAGTTGGGTACTATTTTGCTTTTTTGGTGTCCTCATGTACATTGGTGTCCTCCATAATTTGCCTTGGTGCTTTCGATCATTTGTCTTGGTGCAATTTCCCATTCCTTGGTGCTCTTTGGTAAAAAAAATTGAGGAGGTGCGGAAATAGAGGGCGCTGTTGGAGCTACCGCGGAACATTTTGGAAAAAAAAAAGATCGACGCGCATGCTTAAAATCGACGCGCGCGCTGACCAGAGACCGACTTATTTTTTTTTTGGCCTAATACATGCTGTTTCTTCTTAATTCTGTGCAAAGTTTTGCCAATAAAACTATTAACCGGTGAAGGGATTTGTTTTGAAGGGATTTCAAAATGTATTCTTAACCCTACATGTGTATTATCAATACCAAAATATCACTCTTAGGAGTTTCTCCATGATTTGTTAAGTTAGAAGTTGATTTATCAACTGTGAAAACGAATCAACAGTTTTAGTATTCACCGTCGAGACTCGTTCTCTTTCATCTGAAATGATGTCAATACATTCAGTACATGTTCAAAGGGCTCTAAGGAAAATATTTTGTGCCACTTTCTAATCCTCTTAAAGTGCATGAAAACTAAAATAATATTCCTTTTTGGTTCATTTTGTTGAAAAGTGCACTTCTTTAAACATTTATAATGTTCCATGCTTTTCCGGACAACTTACGTCATTTCAGGGAGACACTGTTCATATTAATGTATTTTTTGTTGTTGAAATGGTGAACCCAACAAAATGCTCATTGAAAACATTCGTGAGAAAAGTTTACTCATTGGCGTACTGCCGTAAACTTACACAACAGCGAATCACTAATGAAAACAAAGTTTACGACAGCGAAATATCCAAATGTTTGCAACTTTTTGTGCACAAACTAATTGCAGCCTTGAGGTTTCTGCCTGATATGACAGACTTTTGCTCATGGATAAGGAAGTTCGCATTAGCACACAAAAAAAGCCACCAAAATACCCTTGACAATGGCAAAATGAAAATTGATAATAAGGTTAAAGGGACACAAAGGTGCATTTTCGTGGATTGCATTTACATTTCATGGGCCCTTTCATTAACTATTAAAATCAAACGTTGGAAATATTTTTACATGAGTACTTTTATTTCCGTGTCGTATGCCGATATTTATACATATGTGGCCTACCTGACTTCTTATATGAGCTTTATATGCAGACTTTTTTGCAGATGTTTAAATGCACACAAGTTTGAGGACACAATTTTCAAATCTAGAAAAAAATACGTTTTTTTGTTTTCAACCGTCAGAGTGCAGCGCTGAATTTGTCTTGGATAAACCCAATTAAAACAAAAACATTCTACGTACATTGGATAATGTATTATCGGCTATTTATACAATGTATTAACAGCTGCATTATACATCGCTTAAAAATTAATTTCATTTTAAAAATGAACATTAAAGAACTTCAGCTGCTGAATAATAATCAGATATGATTTGAAACTATACTACGTTTCCTCAGCATGCTAGCAGCCATTTGGGCCAATAACAACCAATATGCAATTTGAATATCAGCCCTTCTTTCAACCTTAAAATCGACTGACGCATTTACATTTTATTTCCAACGCGAAACATGCATTTATAACACCATGCCTTTTCTTAGCTTTGGCCAAGTCTCACTTGTCATCAAACTCGGGGCGGATGGCGCTCAGATTGATGTACCTTATTTTCTCCATCACCAGATACGTCTGTTAAACAAAGGCAAAATAAGAGGGGAAATGATCGACGTACAAGCATGACCTACCAATCTTTGGCGGATCGCCCCCACCCTAATCAACTCCCCGCCCCCGAAGAAGTTGAATTGTCTTAAATCATTGAAGCAGGAGACTTGGGTATTGACGTGATTCCTACCAATTGAACATTAACTGCAATGACGCCATTTTTGGGGTACAAACACTAACAAAATGTTCGTTTCATGAAATAATTCAGCAAATTTTCTTAAATCTAATTTTCTTTTTTTCTTTTTGTAATTTATAACTTCTAAAAAAAAAAAGGTAACAACATTTCAATTCAGGTAAATGACATTAGGTATACATGTCTACTTCCCCCCCCCCCCCCGCCCCCATGGCGTCATTACAGAGCCCTCATGCTGTCATGAATGAGGTCTATTATTATTTCCGCACTGATTGTCTGTTTTTTTTTTCTTTTTTGAGTAGCCACTTTCTTTTCCACGGGGGTGAAAAACATGGCTTCAAAAGCCATGTTAAAAAAATCAATGAACGACAAGCAGGGTATCACTGAACTTGTGTGAAAGCAGGACCCGTGGTTGTCAAGCTGAACACATTCTATTCGAAATACTTTTACAACATTTAGCGAGTCGAATGTACGAATATTTGTGATTATGTGAACTCACATTGTTGGCTGTATCGCTCGCCATGCCACTCAGGATGGAGACCAACTCGGTGAAGGTTGGTCTTTTGTTCGGATCCTCGTCCCAGCACTTGTGCATCAGAGCATAACTTTAAATTGGAAGAAACAAAACATGACTGGTAAGGTTAATCTATGTTCTCGGACCTGTCTTCTGAAAGCCAACAGACTGTGTCCTTCCTTTGGATTGTTGCCTGAGCATCATCGCACCTGGATTAAAGTCTTACTTCATAGAGATTATTTAAAAGCGCGTCGTCCGTTACATTTACATATCTTTACGTTCCCCTGCCTGCGTGAGGCTTAATGGCATGAGAATGGAAATTCTTGCATATCATTAGTATATGTTTGACCCATCATCCAACGCATTCAAGCATATATATACCTCATGTCATTAAAAGCCTACCACATTTTTTGTTGAATTCGTTGAACCATGTTTTTTTTTTTAATGGAAGTCGATCCCCCATTGCAAGAGTCGAAGCTACTCGCGTTAATGCAGCGTCGGAATTGCATGGGTGCGCTAACACATGGGTCGATGGGAAGTGGCTGCAGTCGCTTTCACAGGCGGATGTGTGATTTGCAGCCGAAGTGAAGTAATTTCGTACACGGCCTATGGAGCTAAGAATAAGGACTAAAGACCGGTACAATGGTCAATTGTTTCTGTTGCATGGAGGCACAACTTAATGGATCAGTAGAGTAACGCGCTATACGTGACATAATCTGAGAGCATTTTCAAGGGACTCACAGCTGTCAGTGATGGTACTCTTTTCAGAAAGCTACATTTTGGTTCTATTTTGGTTATTCTATACGTACACTCGACCAAAAAAGTAAGTGCCCCTACACGTTTTGTCTAACTCAAACACTACTAGGCACATCTTGCTGAAAGTACCACGGATCAGTACAGAAATTCGTTAGCAATTCAGCCATACTCTTTGTTTGGCCAAAAACAGTGATTTTGTGTACACAATATATTATGCAATTCATTACAAGTGGTGCCGAACACAAAGTTGAACTTTTGTATGCGTGCAAGGTGAGTGTGAACCACAACTTGCACGTATACAAAAGTGCAACTGTTTTCGGTATCATTTGTTATACATTGCATACATTCGAACACATTATCACCGTTTTGGGCAAATAGATATGGCTGGATTGCTGAGGAATTTCTGTACTGATTAGTTAGGTGCTCAGTACCTTTTGAATTGGACAAAAAAATGATTTCAGTGGGGGGGGGGGCGACTTTCTTTTTTGGTTGAGTATATAATCAATAATACCTATGATCATCACAGTTGGCTGGCTTAGGCATGCGATATCCTTTCCTCAACTTCCCAGGCAACGACGCACTGTCAATGGTCGGGTAGGGGGTTCCCCCTAAAAACGAGAACATTAAATGAGGGATTTTGTTTTAAAACGTATTCAACGCGTCGAAATGCAACCCTCGTTCCAAAGTACCAATTGTGGCTTCAAGTGCTTGTAGAGCAATTAATAGTGTTTTTCTGTTGTAAACATTGTTTAATAAGGGAATAAATGTGTGTGCTTGGCCGGTTTTCAACACTCTGTTCAGACCGGTTGGAATCTGGATGCCGAACCTTAACATAAATACCTTTACGGTAAAAAAAATAAAGCAAAACGTTTCTGTTCAAAAGTCAACTCACTACAATCATTACAAATTTCCAACGATTTCGTTAAACTTTTTTACTTCATGTTTTTCGAAACACTACTCTTGCTATATTATATATGGTAAACAACCCCTTATATGAAGAATGATGCTTGTCTGGCGTGCTGCGCGATGTGACTTAGAACGCAGCTGTGCCGGTGTAGTGTGATATTAGGACAATGAAATACTTACCCAATGGTAGTAACGCGCATGCCTACGTAACCTACGTAACCAATTTAACGGTAACTAAAATGCACCGGAATGCAAAGGAGTTCGAATTCATGTAACGTTGGAAAAGCGTTTCAGACCAGCCAGTCTGTCTTTAGTAACCGTTTAAACCCGGCCACGTAACATAAACTGTCTTATGTATTTATAAAAGTCGAATATCGCTTAAATTGACACAATGAATGTTATCTTTCGCAAAGTATAGCAATGTAAATTATATATATTTGTTTACTTTTCGTTGCCTGGGGGAGGGTGTATAAATGTCAGTGTTAAAAAAAAGAACATAAGTCTTACCAATTGTGACTATTTCCCACAGAAGTATTCCAAATGACCACCTGAAGTAACAAATAAATACATACAACGGGATGAATGTATTATTCTTAGTCGCAAAGGGAGGATGTCTCACACAAAAATTGAAATTAAACTTTTTAACTTTAAACTAAAATAAACTAATACATGTTTCATTACTGCATTTATATGTGCATAACATGCATGTATATGTTTACGTTATACTACATCAACATTAAACTCAGCGATTCAGCTGATACTGAAGTGTAAGTATGTGTTTTGGGTCTCCGTAAACTAAAGCTCGCTTTTCTTTGACGAGCGCCATCAGCTGTTTAACTATATTTCTATGTAGTAAAACAGCTGATGGGGCTATTTCACAATCGATGGGGTTATGCATAAAATAAAACAAGGAGAAAGCCACTTACACATCACTCTGAGTGGTGTATGTGTGGTGCCTGACGGACTCAATTGCTAACCAGCGAAGGGGAACCCTCTTCTGTAGTAGGGGAGGGGGGTACATGTCACGGGAGAAAAAAAAAAGAGTGAAAGAGGGCGCTTTAATATCATTGTACGAGTGTTTTTGAAATTCGATGGTTTCTTTTATATTCCGATTATATTATGCATGGCATACCTTTAACTTGTCCTGCTTTGTTTCATTATCAGACACAAACAACTTAATACAATTACATCCTTGGCTTTTATGACTTGCTGGGTAGCAGCTCAACAAGTCATCATGACTCTCCGCTGGTAAGCTAGTAACAAACGTTGACTTGCAAACGTTGCACTTGTCTATTACTCCTACATGTTTCGACCGATTTCAACCAAGCTAGTCAAAAGTATCAGTAGCCCAGCCAAAACATGTTACATGACCAAACTGAGGTGAAAGGTCATCATTGGGTGACTGGGGTCACCTGACTCATACATGAACACATATTCGTTGTCCCACAGCTTTCGAGATCAAATCGAGCTTCTTTTTTTTATTTGTGCTATTTTTTATTATATTTTGTTGTATTTCACATGTAAACGTACATAAATAGGTTCGTACCGATGACATCTGCACGTAGACATCTTCCCCTCTGGACAGTCCGAAATCAGACACTTTAGCAATCAACGCTTCTCCAATCAGAATGTTCCTCGCAGCCAAATCACGGTGAATCACCTATCGACCAGAACGATCATAAACAAATCACAGTTAGACCGATGCATGAAGCCCCGTCCACTGCGCACGTGAGCAAAAACACTTCATCTCGAAGACGCGCGCGTCACACGCGCATACACGCACATTGGAAATAATGTAAAGCGGTTCGTAAATAACAGATTGCTGTAGGCTGATTTTAGATTAAAACAATTGTCATGCTTTTAAGAATTGATTGTTTAACCCCTCGTCCTTCCAACACAAACAATGACAGATTGCCACATCAAGCTGGCATTAGACCACAAGCAACTGTACAAAAACTTTCAGTTCGTATAACATCGTGAACTTGTAAGTACCCTACCCTTACACAAAGAAATCATGTTAGCATCAGGGATTGATATGTTTCCAGGCAATGTTCCTCATGAGATCATTAGCTTTACTGTATTTTCTTGGAGGAGACTATGCTAGCTTTACGTTTCTAAGTGGTTAATGCAGGTTAGGGGGTAAATGCACCACAATACACCGGAATATCGATTTACCCCCGCTTTAGCAAGGTGCTCCATCCCCTTGGCAACATCCAGAGCAAACTTGACCAGCTGATCGAAAGACAAGGCATCCTCGTCTGATTCTGACTGTGAGCGAGCCGTCCGCAGGTAGCTGCGCAGATCACCATGGGGAAGATACTCCAAGGCGACGTACAACACATCTTGGTAAAATGTCAACATAACCGAGAGGTCAATAAGGAAGTGTACATAGTACATCTGCTACACTTTGTTCACTATCATCTCACGAAATACGAAAAGGAGTTACATGTTATTCATATCAGTTTCAGATGAAGTAGGAAAACAAGGATTTGTTGGGAAAAAACATAAAAGCTAATTGTTACTTTCATTATCAGAACCCATTCCGAAAGCAGTAACAATAAACCCTTGCTTGTACAAATACCAAGTTTGTTGAGATCTACAGAACTAAGGCCAAAAAAAAAAAGTCTCCGGTTTCTGGTATGCGCGCGCGTCGCCGTAGCCATGCGCGTCGGCAAAATGAAAAAGTTGTTTTTTCAATACAAAATGATGTTTCAAAACCGCCAAACTCACTGATTTGACTGGAATTCTGCTGCTGCACAATTTTAACGTGTTTTTAGATGGGGTTATGATCGAGAATAAGATTTATGTGGCCTCTCTGGACTCCCATATATTTGCACTAAGTTTAGTCGGGCACCATTTGCAGTCATCAGCCGACATTTGAAGCCCCCCCCAAAAAACAGGTAAAAAAAAAAAAAAAGCCGCGTCGCCGCACCACTTTTGGGGCAAGCTCCATACCAGAAACCTAACAGTCATTATTTAAAGGTAGAGCTGCCGACATTTATTTAAGGCAGCGTTTTAAAAGAGTTGTTTTAAAACACAATGTGGCCTACGTTTATCTTTTGCTTAATTACTGAAGTTGTAACACGTTATGTTGTCATGTGAAATTTGGACTCCTATGAAATCTCGTTACTTTGCCTTTCACGGACTTCCTTACACGTGACCTGTCACTGTCCGTGCTACCTTCACTTGGGCATGCGCGATGTAACCAAATTACCCTAATTTTGTAGGAAATAAAGCAGAGTTACTCAAATTATACCTTGATACTGGCACGCCCCCAAGAGCCAAACGATGTTTGAATGATGGCCAATAGAGGACATAATCTTGAACTCTTGCATAAACTCGTCCTTTTCAAAACTTGACGAGTGCTCTGATAAAAGAAAGATCAACCACTGAGAAAGCTCAGCCATTACACACACACAATATTTTTTGGAGATGTAAAATGATTTCAACTTTCTCAAACTTTAGCAACAAGTATCGCAAGAATATTCAAAATATTGTAATCGTTGACGTAGGCCTACTTGTTGCCCAGTCGTTGGCACTGTTCTGACACATCCGTTTATGTTGCACTGTGTTAAACTGGAAACAAAATACTCAACCTAAAGGCTATACAGATTACAGGAGATCATCCCTTTCACCCCCTCCCTCCCCCTTTTTTGTTTTTGAAAGGGGGATTTTCTAGGAACATGTATACAAAATCTAGTATAATCTTAGATTGCACAGAGAATCACCTATTTAACTAACTGACTGTTGCTTGTGAGCCAGGCAGGGAAACTGATGTATAGGATTACCCCGTAATGTCAAGAATGGGCTAAATCCGACCTATTGTAGGCCAGATGTAAGGAAACGATCCTAATAAATACTGATTCAGAGTCAATTGAAAATAATTAGGAGCACTCGTTGAAAAGCTGTACTCGTCTTGCCGTGTCTTGTTGGAATTACGTTACCTTTTAGCATTTTGATGGCCGCCCGAATCACCTTGCCGCCAATCCTGACGGCGCCCGATCTAACCTTGCCGAAATTCCCCCTCCCCAGCACCTCATCATCCAGCAACAGGTCGCTCCATAGAATCTCCCATCCCTTAGCCCAGCTCGGGAGACTGTCCCCTTTGGATGCCAGCTCTCGCTGCTTGATTCTACTCTCGTGAGATGTGGCCGCAGCTTCTGCAATCCTGTCTTCGTATGAGGCTACAAGCTTGTAAGAAGAAATTAAATTTTGATTAAAAGACAGGGGATCTTTAGCGACCATCTTGGGTGTACAAGCAGACGTGATTCCTACTTGAAATTTATATTAATACAGTTTGTTTATTTTAAGATTGAAGTGAATTTACTTAGATGTTTTATTAGTCAACGTGGCAATTCTGCCATTTGTACCCAGAAAATGCGTCGTTATTCCTTCATAAATGTAACCATTAAAATATTTTGCGGATTCACACATTAATAAGGCCAATCGAGCGATTCGTTAAGCCCAGCGCTTCGGTATTTTGAACGATCACGAGCCGATATTGATGTCCGGCATGCGTGCGCAAATGAACAACATGCGTGCACTGGCTTATGACGCGCGTACTATCTCAAACACGTGGCATGGCATATGTCATTGGAGAAACAAGCGTGTTTTGTTGGGTATGAAAGCGGTGGGCGGGGCCTAATTGACCGATATGCTGGGCTAAAAAAAGACCTCCATTCTTGACTCACCATTGCCACAGTTGACTCTGCTGTGCCTGCAAGTGCGTTGTGAATCACCGATGCTCTTCCGCGATTTCTCCTGCCTCTCAGAAGAGCGAAGACACCAAGCGCAACAACCACTATGATCAACAATGCGACGGAAACACACACAGCTACTACTGCATTGTTAACACCAACACCAACACCAACACCCCTGTCCACTTTACTCTCTGACAGATTGGGAAAAAAAATAAATGGCGTTGACATCTGAAAACTTGAACCACACAAGACAAATCTTGAAAAGCTGTATATTTTGTGTCAATGATTAAGAATGGCTATTCATTGGATAATTTCATGCATGTGGTTTACACATTGAGCCGGACGTAGCCCATTGAATGACGTTAGTAGTAATCCTATCCGATAAACTGCCCGGCTATCTTCAGGAGTAGACCGCCAATCACACGTTATAGTCTATCACAACTGACAGCCATTCAGTCAGTCAGTCAGTCAGTCAGATCCGATACGTACAAAGTGTACACTAGGCATACCCCCCCTTCCCCCAAAGGGACAAATTTTCTTGGTAACATTATCTATCGGTCACGAGATAAACTCGCCAGTTTTGACAAGTCTGATATACTAATCAGAGAGTATGTGTTGTAGTAAACATTCTTGACTGTTATATTTATTCCGTTCAAAGTAATTCGCATTGAAAGAAAATCACGAAAGAAGAGAATGAAAAGTCCAATACAAAAGTACTACACTTAAAAAAAAAAAATCAATAACACAAGAGTAAAGGTAATTTAAACTAAAGCTATAGACGACACTTTAATACCATTATAATGAAACTCACGAGCAGATCAAGAACGGGGTGGACAAAAAAATGACAGCAACCTGAAAAATAAATACCGTTACCTTGGCAAATTCCCGTAGCCTCTTCTTTAATGAATCCATTCTTGCAAATACATTTGAAATCATCAACCAAGTCCACACAATCGGCGTTGACATCGCAGTCGTTCGTTGATTCATCATTACATTCGTTCATATCTGAACAGTTCACGAATATGACAAGTTTTGGTAACAATAATAATTATAGCGAATCAATCACGCTCCAACCTCGCAAAAGCCCGATAAGGTACTAAGTATTTTTCGGGTTCATGTTTTCCCTCTAAATATGCATGCTTTTCTTAGACGGTATTGTTAAGCAGGCATGAGGGAAAAGAGGCAATTCGGCAATGAGCAGATGCTTCCACTAGCACTTCGTCGCTTGTTAGATACAATTAGGACAACATGATATTGTAATTATACAATTCCCAGTTTCTGATTTTTTGCATTTTTTTTCACGAGATAAACAGTTTCTTAACGGCTTTTAACCCTAAAGAGGCCGGGGGCAGGTATCCGCACCCTCATTTTTTTTTTCCGCGGTAGCCTTGAATTTTTTTTCTACGACCTGAGCTGTTCTGACTTTTTTTAAGCATTTTTTGATACCAAGAACATAACATTCGGACCAGGGGTTGCCGCGCAGCAAAATAAATTCTGGCGCTACGCGCCGTGAAAACTGAATATCCTGAAATACGTAGTGTACACAAAACATAATTACGATTCGTGCATATGAATAATTAATTAGCCATATTTCCTAAACCCTTTAACGTATAGTCATGACATTTCTTGGGTATGTTCATGATAAGCTGTTCTGTGCATGTACTAAGCTTCATAATGTTTTGTTACTCGATGGCTGTAATGTGGCTGAGAGATGGTCAAAATAACCCGGCCCTTTTAGAGTTAAAATGCGTTTCACCCGTTTCGACTGAATACATGAAGCACAAAATGCTCTTAGACCACCTCATTAGAGAGAAATGGAAGCACAAAGCATGATTACTTTACCGAGGATGAGTTTCAGGGTTTGAAAAGACAGTTGCTTCCCGTCAAAGAACTGGCACTTGTAGATACCCACGGAGGACCGGTCGATGGGCCCAACTGTCAGGTTGCACTGCCTCTCTAAGGCTCCAGGTCCCGCAGTGGGGCCGGGAAACTCCCCACTTGCAGGACGGCACGAACGATGGACTTCTTTTTTATAGAGCCATTTGAGTGTTATCGCCTGCTGAACTGCATCCCCGGCCACTGTGCATGTCAGAGTTACATTCGTGCCCGGTGCAGCCAGCACTTCGGATCCAGGTAGAATCTTCAGAGAAGGTGAGGCTGAAATAGATTATGAAATTAATTTGAAAAAAGTCAAGCCTGGTAAAGTCTGTCCTAGAGCGCACTTAATTATCTTCAACCGATTTAAAATGGCTCATCTTTGGAAGAATTTTGTAAGGTAATCATATAGGTTAGTAACGCTTGACAGTGCAAGTCAGTCATTCAGTCAGTCAATCAGTCAGTCAGTAAATCAGTCAGTCAGTCAGTCAGTCAGTAAATCAGTCCGTGGGATAGGTACAGAGAGGATACTAGGGTAGACCTCTTAGACCAGCAAAATATTTACAAGAAAACCAAGTCCCAGAAGTGATATCGCTCCCTGTATATGCATGAAACAAATTGCTGGCACTAAATTTGAGTAAATAGCCTGTACAACTTATGACGAGCTCTTTTAATGGTGTTCTCAATTACGATGGAAGTTGCCAACATTCCGGAAAATATCGCTTTCGTGCATCAGGACAAATTCTTCAACAAGGAGCGATCTGTTTCCTGGAGGGAATATTGTTTACAATGTTCCTGTTTTTTACCCCTTAAGCACGGGGTGTAATGGGGACATTCTTCCACACACGGAGCAAGTCGCCCGCATGACTGCACAGCCTTTGTGTGGTAGCGGGACTGCTCAAAAGCAGCAGCTGTGGAACTACCCACTAGCCGTGTGTCACGGCATACCACAGCTGGCAACTGCATTCCAATGGGGATTAGTGACCGCTTCCCGTACGCATGGGGTCCAAAACTCACCTGTTGCATGTTGGAGAATCAGCACAAATATTGGTACAACGAAAAACTTCGCCATGTCGGTAATAGTCTCTTGTAACCTGGCTGACACTTGCACAAAATGAACATTTTACTCTACCGTTTTCGATGGGAAAGTGATATAGAGACCCAATCGTGAATCTGTTTTCTTTAGCTAAGTTTTCACACGGAGTACAGCCCTTAACATTTCCTCGTTTCGGTTTGATCTGTTATTGTTTCTTAGTAACATGTTGCTTGATATATGATTCATACATTAATATGGAACTTTGCACTATTCACATGAACACTGACTTTGTCTTATGAGGCCGCAAGCTCAAATCCCCTTCAAAGTCAAAAGTAAAACTTGTAGCCTACGTTTTCTAGTGTGCGAACTAAAACACCAATTTGTTTTTTTATTTTCTTTCTTTAATGGAAACCTGTTGCAGCCAATACATTTAGTACAAAAAAATAGGTAGTATTCTCCGACACAGTCTTGTTCACTTTGTCTATTTTGTCTTTGGTTTTAGAATTAAAAAAAAAAAAAAACAAGAAAACAATGTCCCCATTTTCAGATTGTTGTGTTTCTGTGTATGTTATACTCGTTGATAGTTGTTTCTAAACTTTGGTGTTAAATGGAGGGCGAATTTTCTATAACACTAACCAAGCGTTTTTATAGGTTTTCTTGTTTTATTGTGTTTATTTTTTTTTTCGTTTTGATTTTGATTTTTCTTTTATCATTTTTGTATCCACATTTTTTATCCACACATTGCTTCCCAGCAGAAAGGTTAGTTACCCAGCCATACCGCCCATGCATATTCGTCCACAACGCGCCTTGTAAATAATTTTATTATCCAAGGTTACTGACACCTATGAACGATTTCCTTTCATTTTCGCCATGCTCAACGATAATTAAAGGGGTCCCTCGAAGAGGGAAAGAAGCTTTAGCTTTCGTTATGTCAAAAATTAAACACTAATCTCCAACGCTACTATCGAATTATGAGACTAGTGAAAAGCATGTATTAATGTACATTTCCATTGCCATCGTAGTGATGGTTCAATGTATGCAAATGAGCCGCGCACGAGCTTGTGTTGACGCCCTCAATTTTTCAATGCATGACTCACTGGAAATCCCCGGGTTGCAACATGTGGGGACTTTCTGAGTGTCCAAAACGGGAGCGCGTAAATTTCTGTTATTTTGTTAATACTGCACATTTTGTTTGCATTGTAAATACCCGTTTTGAACTGGTGGTAAACATCGTGCAATTCCGTTCTCTTCCCACTACTGTTAGAGGTGAGTGTTCTCTGGGATTGTTAAGAATACAGTGTATATTTTTGTGGAAGTAACATCATATTTGGTTCAAGGGAATGCATTTAATAATAACTGTTAGAAAATAAATTGGAGCTACAGTGAGCCTCTTAGGGGCCGTTTGAAATTTTCAAAGTTTTTAAATTTCGATTTTTTTTTCCTGAAATTATTTTGACCCACCCACCCACCCCCAATTTCGATTAATAAAAAACTGATTTGTCATGCAGTATTAACAATCAAAAACATGTACATGTACATGCACTTGCCTGTACATGTCATGCATGTGTGTCCAGTTCAGTGACGACGTAAAGTTGTCGGTCTTCCTCTTGTGCACACACAGTGTTTCACACAATGGGTAAATACACACGTACATGTAAAGTACATACCGGGGACGAAGTTGGAAAAGAAACACGCATATCGCGATATCGGGACGCTTGTGTGTAGTTCAGGCATGGAGCTACAGGCAAGTCAAAAGATCTAACTTTTTTTGCCCTTTTTCTTAATGAAAATAGCTTGACCCACCCACCCACAATTTCGTAATTTAAAAACATCGAACATTTTGAATGGCCCCTTAATAAACACCTGTTCTCTGGTTTGGTGTTTCTTTGTTGCTTTAAAACTGTGCCTTTAGTTCCATTTTGAGCCAGAGATATTTCTCATTTTGTGAATGATCCATGATTGTTATGGCGATCGATGCGGTTTTTTTTAAATGAGCGAAACATCATGCGAATGTGCATGGGCTGTTAAAGACAGGGAATGGAGCAGCCCTGGATTTTTTTTTTTTCAATGTGAGGGACACATTCATCTTTTGTTTTTGTAGACAGGATTCAACGATATATATATATTTTTTTTTTCGTGGACTTGTTGTTCATTGTTAAAAGTAGAAGGGCACATTTGTCCAGTCCGCATATTGCACATATACTTTTTGACCCACGAGTGGTTAGTGATGTAAAGTAACAAACTAAAACATGATATAGTACAAATGCTTTATCATAAATTTGTCTAAATAACTACAGCGTACAAAGTACGCGTTTAACCTATCAATGTGCGTTCAACCTGTGAAAGCTAGCAACATGTAATGTGCGTTGTTTGAATGAGTAGTTCTCTGCCCCCTCCAAACAGAAACATTTTCAACGGGCCCTGCACTAGTTATAATAAATTATATTACCCACGGTTACTAACACCATGCTTACGTACGGTAACTCGCATCTCGCCCCAGGCCTCGAGTGCGCCGGCAACTCTGACTCAATGTCAAAATGAGGGCCAAGGCCAGCGATTGAAGCAGCTGCGACTCCACTGAGAGCCAAACAAATATCATACAAGCAGGATATTCTTGGTGTAGTGCCAGAATATCAACCCATCTCTATTCTATGAAGACATCCCTTTCACGAGGGAGGTTTTGGTCTCTCTAAATATCATGTACATTCATGAGATGTTTCAGCATCCCATCCTTCCATGCGCCCCAGCACCGTTGTTGAAGGCTCAGCAGGCACTAGCTTTTGTCATCAGCTGGTGAGGAGGGCTGCGCAGTGACTCCCTATGTCCTCTAAATTAACATTGAAGACCGTCTTAGAGGTGAAAGAGACGCCAACAAGTTCTATATAACTCGATCCCTCAAGCAAGTTCAATGAGGCTATATTTGTTGGTGTCTATAATGATTTATCCATGGTCTAAAAAAGGCACCAAACACCTTCATGTTCGTGATCAAAATGTTCGAATATGCTGTTCATATAGTACTCTCCGTTAAATGCTCGTCTATTGATATGAACTCATTTAAAAGGAAAATAGAACGTAAACATGGCCTGTATTCAGTGCTGCGCATCGTTAAGTACGACATCCAATAGCCGCTGGGTCAGTAGTGCGTACGTTCTGCGTAGACAGTCCATTACTGACCCGACGGCTGTTGCATGTCCTAAACACTGCTCACGCGACGGCACTTATCTGCTCCTGGTATTCAGGTCAACCGCCAGGTAACCATAAGACTAGCCAATTCGAATTCCCCAAGGTGTACCCTTTCCAAAAATACCCACTAAGCACTCGGTCATTTCCAGAAAATAAATGACCCCTGGCTCTTGGACTATGCAAATGAGCCGCGCCCGAGCTTGTGTTGACCCTTCATTGCTACAATGCAGGACTCACTGGAATACCTTGGGTTGCAACATGTGGGGAATTTCCGAGTGTCCAAAACGGGAGCCCGTACATTTCCGTTAATACTGCGCATTTTGTTTGCATTGTAAATTCCTGCTTTGAACTAGTGGTAAGCATCGTTCAAATTAGCTCTCTTCCCACTACTGTTAGAGGTGAGTGTTCTCTGGGATTGTTAAGAATACAGTGTTTATTTTTGTGGAAGTAACATCATATTCGGTTCAAGGGAATGTATTTAATGATTACTGTTAGATGTTCAATGTTTTTAAATTTCGATTTTTGTTTCCAAATTATTTTGACCCACCCACTCACCCCCAATTTTCATTAATAAAAAAACCCCGATTTGTCATGCAATAATCCAAAAACATGTACATATACATGCACTTGCCTGTACATATACATGTATACTTAAACATGTACATGGATACCCTTGTACATGTCATGCATGTGTGTCCAGTTTAGTGACGGCGTGAAGTTGTCATTCTTCCTCTTTTGCACGCAGTCGTTTTTATAGCTCTGGATAGTAAACATCATTCAGGCTGCTTTCGGCTCAACTACTCCACAAATTCAAGTGACATTGATTAAAAAGTTTACCTTGAGTGATGAAGATGTTACACAACAATTTTCCAAATTTAAGCTCCTTTAAATTTAACTTTACGACGTCAAATGTACCGATGCCATTCTTCCTAGTTCCGGATCGGTTCAATCAATTTGGAATCGATCAAAAACTGCTTCGCGCGAAAAAAAGAAATCGCGCGAGATTATTCAGCCAAAAAAATCCAAAATTAAGCATATTTCTGATGAAGTATTGCTTAATTTTCCAAAAAAAGCTCATTCAAGAGAATACCAGCAAATTTTAAAAAGAGAAAAACGTAGTTGGGTCGTAAGTGCATGCGCGATCCAGAACTAGTTAAAAAATACGGTCATTCATTGCTGAGTTTTCAAAAATAAGAGACTCTACAACTTATTTTAATTCAACAAACATTCGATGGAAGAGTTTATGCGACTGTAATCTATGCAATTTTTTTTCGAAAACACACGGTACGAGTGATGTACCGAGGAGAAAATTTATCGTCAATTTGCAGATCCCGTGATTTTCTAAAAACGGTCCAAATATGTCAAAGTTCGAGTCAGAAATCTCGCCAAAACTCGCTTTCTAAAGATTTTATCGAAAAGATCTTTGTCTATAAAAAAGCTTACATTTTCCTTTTCAAAATGCACTTCGTCGGAAAAAAAAATATTGAAGACTAATCCAGGTAGGTTTTTATTTGAAGCAATCCGGAACTATAATACGGAACTAGGAAAACGCCGGACTGCACTAGCGAGCGCAGGCTGCGGTCCTTGTAGTCTTTTAGTCCAGTGGTTAAACAGTCCAGTTTTTATGGTGGTTAGTAATCGACATCCACGTTGTGTTATAATGTATAGCCCATGTAGTACACCTGGTACCCTGCAGCCTCTGCACGGCCTAACCGCTACAAACGCCTGGCGTCTAAATCTACCGAAAAACCACCTACTTCCTTTGTCACAGTGTTTCACTCAGTGGGTCTATACACACGTACATGTACAGTAAATACAGGGGACGAAGTTGGAAAAGAAACTCGCATATCGCGATATCGGAACGCTTGTGTGTAGTTCAGGCATGGAGCTACAGGCAAGTCAAAAGATCTAACTTTTTTTGCCTTTTTTTTAATGAAAAGTGAATTTCGATTTTCAATTATTTAGCCTGACCCACCCACCCACAATTTCGAAATTTAAAAACATCTAACATTTTGAATGGCCCCTTAATAAACACCTGTGCTCTGGTTTGGTGAGTCTTTGTTGTTTTAAAACTGTGCCTTTAGTTCCATTTCGAGCCAGAAATATTTCTCATTTTGTGTCTGATCCATGATTGTTATGGCGATCGATGCGTTTGTTAAAATTAGCGAAACATTATGCGGATGTGCATGGGCTGTTGAAGACAGAGAATGGAGCAGCCCTGGATGTTTTTTTCGTCTTCTTTTTTTTCAATGTGAGGGACACATTCATCTTTTGTTTTTGTATACAGGATTCAACGATATATATTTTTTTTTTCGTGGACTTGTTGGTCATTGTTAAAAGTGGAAAGGCACATTTGTCCAGTTCGCATATTGCACGTTTACTTTTTGACCCACGAGTGGTTAGTGATGTAAAGTAACAGACTAAAACATGATACAGTACAAATGCTTTATCAAAAATGTGTCTAAATAACTACAGCGCAAATTTCATCAACAGATATCTGGATTTCACAATGCCGTCAATCAGAATTCGTTCCCTGGTAATGGTTGGGCTGTTGATGTTCTCAACGGTGGGATTTTGTGTGTCAAAATACAACGTGTGTCCGGCCAACCCTGGTGAGAATAATTATATCGCCTTTCAAGTGTGTTGCTGATTTACAAATGTTAGGCTTTGTCCACATTTGCCCATTTGGAAAATGCATTCCAGTTTTAAGTTACGGAAATGGAATGCTTTAAAAGAACGAGCTTATTACGACCTTGTTATAAATGTAGGTACACCCCGATCGAGCTCCCCGAACATTTTTCGTTGACACAAAAAGGAGTTTAAAAAAGCTTTCTGTTAATTTTGAATTGTAGGTTTTCCCGGTCGTTTTAACACTTGTATCACACGAATTCCTTATATCGATGCTTTAATTTCGTCCCCTAACATCATTAAGCTCAATTCTCAATTTGTATTTCAGAAAGCCACCACTAGATTTCATTTGAGGTTAATTATAATTCAACTTTTAAGCCTACCGATTTGTCCAACGCCGATTGCTACCCGAGACAAAATTAACAAATTTAGGACGAATCGGTATGCTAAAAAAAATGAATTATACTGAACCTTTAATGAAATCTAGTGGTTGCTTTCTGAAATCCAAATTGAGAACTGAGCTTGGCGATGTTCGGGGACGAAGTTAAAGTATCGATATATGGAATTTGTTTGAATCAAGTGTTAAAATGACCGGAAAAAAACTATATTAAAAATAATAATAAAAAAAATATTTTGTTGCATTTCGCCAGATGGTGCTTTCCAAACTTCCATTTTTAGATTGTGCTGTGTATTAACGGAATGCGATGTGTTCTTCGATACCGCTATCATACACACGCGGCCGCAGGAGGGATTGCCCAATAACGTGCAGCGGTTGTTTTGTACTGTTGTTGTACAAACATCGCAGAGGGTTCAACGTTCAAAGTGCTCAGAAAAATTCATACTACGTTTCCATGCACATGTGAAAAGTAGGGCAAATAGGTTATCTCTTATTTTGCCAACAGTGTGTCAATACGTCAACTATCTATCATCTAATGCATATTTTTGATGCTACGCCTATTTATTTTATTTGGATTTTGCTGATGTTAGAGAAAGTGAAATTGCCCAACCTTTTGTTTGATTGTTTTTCTTTACACTGTTTTGAACTTAAAGGTCCGGGCTATTTTGATCATCTCTCAGCCGGGGGGGGGGGGGGATGGGGCGGGAAAAAATAAACTCAGTACATGAATAGAACGACTTATCATGAACATACCCAAGAAATGTCATGACTATAGGTCAAAAGGTTTTGGAATTATGGCTCATTCATTATTCATAATTATGCATGAATGATAACTCTAGTCCGTGTACACTATATACGTATATGAGGAAAGTCAGTTTTTACGGGGCGAAGCGCCTAATTTTTTTTACAATTGTCAGATGTTTATGTTTTTGGTATCAAACCATGCGCAAGTCTCGAGGTTAAAAAGTCAGAACAGCTCGGGTTGCGGTTTTTTTTAAGCTATCGCGGAAAAAGTTGGGGGGGGGGGCGGATTCCGCCCCGGCCCCTTTAGGGCTAACTATTCACATGTACATTTTAGAACTACAATTCAAACGTTTTAGTTGGTGCGATTTTGTTCAAATTTCTTCATCTGAAAATGTACCTTACGCTAGCGCGGCTACCGCTGCATGATCTTGAGGAAAATGTTAAATCTCATTACTTGGAAAAAGACATGTGATAACATTTTCAATCGAGCTGTTAGGGCACATTCTGGTGATATTATTTCGAATATCGAGCTCTGCCGTTTTCCGATGAGCTTTTGTATATCTTTATTTTCAGATACGAGCATCCAAGATATCTTTGGCGGCCCCCGCTACCTTCAAAAGACTGTTTGGCACAAAATTCGCTGTCCTGCGTTTCGCCCCGGTGAAAGTTTAGACGGTGTCATTTGGTACCAGGGATCCAGCGTAGACGACCCATCAAAAGCTCGTCTGATCAGCCGAGACCTGCGGGGAGGAATCAACAAAGACACACCTGCCGAGGAGAGATACTCGATGCCGTCCTCTCACAGCCTTGTCATTAAAGGTGTCGAAGACAGGGACGAAGGGAGGTTCCTGTGCCAAGTCATCCCTCAAACTACCGAAGCTAGAGACGCGGGAGTAGATGTCCAAGTTATAGGTAAAACCTCTGTTTTAAACTTCGAGAAACATCTGGTGGTTCACAAGTCATCACAAGTCAAACATATATGTTGTCTAATTCGAGCGAACTCGTCCCATTAAAAACCATGAGACAAAGACAATCCATTGTTTTTGTCTAACCTCCGTTACCAGTGACCGGATTAATTACTTGTGATTACTTGTGACCGGTGTCATATGAAAATCGGTGTCATATGAAAATCGGACTCGTATGAAAATCCGACTTTTTTTTTCCTTTTATTGGTTAAACCCTCTCACGTGACCGGTCCCTCTCCTAATTATCTCTGCATGAACATGCGCAATACCACCAATGAGTCCGTATTTCATTAAACCTAATTTCATGCTACACCGGAATCATAATGACTGCGACACTGCTTACCTTATGTTTGAGTCTCTTTCAAACATTTCTCCCCATAACTTTCCCCATCACCAAATCATCCCTACCCCCCCCACCATAAAAAAACATGTATACCTCAACTGAAGTTTCTCACAGTTGTCATCAAGGACTACAGTTGAAAAGCAATTATTTAAAATTCCAATAACACAGACGATACCTTTCCAGGAGGTAGTAGTCAGGTATCTTCCTCTGCTAGTTTACAGCGAGGACGCAGACATACGCTACCGTGTGAGTGCGCGTCACAGACACCAGACGTAGTGTATTGGTCAACGGGAGAGGGCGTCACTACATATACACAGATCATTGGTGCACGTTTCTCTGATGGTACTACCCTGCATATTCAACATGGCGCCGATTACAGCATTGGTAGCGACGCTTCACTTACAGTCAACTCCCTGAATGACGTACAAGATACACAGAGATTCTGGTGTCATGTGTTCAAGTCGGATGGTACACTCAGAAATTGCAACACCAATGTCAAAATAACAGGTAAGGAAAAAGTATTTTAGTGGACGAAAGACCTACCGGTAAGACCTACCGGTAGTCTTATCAAGCTGATTTGTCTTACAGACAAGAACTTCCGTGTAGACCACTTTATCAGCGACGCTTCGCAATGTCTGCAGCACCGACTGTCACATTCATTTTGAAATTCCTCTATTTTAAATGTAGATCGACAACAACCCAATAAAGCCCTCAAAGCTTCATCGACATCATTTTATGTTCTTGAGGGTGAAGAGCAGACACTCCCATGCTGGAACTGGACGCCCGGTGGCACAACTTGTGAGGTGCAGTGGTTCAAGATCGACAGCTCAGCTCGACACGTTTTACTGTCAAGCAACCTCGTGGAAGCTGATTCCGAGTCCGAACTTGCTAGTGATTTCGGCCTGATCATCAAATCTGCTGGTGGCGAAGATTCTGGAAGATACCAATGTGATACAGGCGAAGGAAGCGGTGGTGGTTATATTCGTGTTAGAGTAATAGGTGAATAATAGTATATATATATTTTTTTTTATTTAATCTTGAGAAAATTAAAGAGGATTACAATTACACTGAGCGGTAAGATATTCAGTAAGAGTTTGTGAAAAAGATGTTGTAATGCGAATGATAAGACCCTATAATAAAGGTATATTGCACGTGAGTTTTTTTTCTTCAAATAAGTCGAAACGGCAGATAAGCAATCTACCATACAAACTGTATTTCATTCAAATCAATGCATTGGAACAGACGCCAGCTTCATGGAACTCAAGGTTTGAAAATTGTCTTGGACCACTTGCCAAAGTGAGGAGGTGCACTTGGAACAACACACGAATGATATAATTTCCTTTGTTCAAGAGTGACGTGTGACTATTTTTACCGGATTCGTATCGAATCTAAAAACTTGATAAAAAAGTGGCTCAAGTGGTTTTTCAAGACCCGTATTGTGACGGCTGTATCTTATGAACAAAACATTAAAAAACAACTAATAAAGCACTAAGTACACCAATTATTGTTCTACTTAGCAATACGTTAGACAAGATTTTGATTACTGTCCTGACTTCTCTGAAAACATGCCCGATTCGACTGTTACTTTTGTTTTTCTTCGGGCTAAATTATAACACTATTTCCCCTATTTTCAAACTTAAATATACAGGACGGAAATTCCCGTTAGACGGCGGAGATGTGTCTTCAAGCTCGAAAATCTACTTTAAAGCTGGGACAAATTACACACTTCCGTGCCAAGCTGCATCGGATTCGGCCGAGATCGGAAGTCCTGCAACTGTGTTCTGGTCTTTTGCCAAGCTTGGCAATGCAACGACCACCGTGATCGGGAGGTTGCACATACCAGGTGGCTCCAAAAAGATGTCTGATCCTAGAGACAACAACTGTTTCTCCATATCTCCGGAGGGCGCACTTTTCCTGAACGGGTGCCTTGAAGAAGAGGACGTCAGGTACTGGTGTCACGTCTTCCCTGAGAATGAATTGCTGATTAAATCGTACGTGGATTTAGTAGTCAAAAGTGAGTACGTCCATAGAACTTGCCTCGACTCCATGCGATTGCTACTTCCTCGCAACGTGTTTGAAACTTGTTGATTTGTTTGCCTTAAATTGAAGTCTACGGATCTTTAAGCCTTTGTTCTAACTTGAAGTACACGCAATCAACGATATCATGAAAGGCAAAGAATTCATTTACAAAGCAATCAACGATGTATGCAGCTTTTTTGTCGGGCTGGGGAAAGTAAGAATTCACTGTATCGACGTCTTGCCGACTTAAAACCCTCTTCAAAATACCGTTGTTGGACAGTTCTACAGGGTGAGTAAAAAAAAAAACGAAACCCAAATGTCGGGACTATTGTTTTATTGAAGTTCTGCATGTAGCACTTTAAAAATCTAGGACATGAACTGTTTAAGTTACATAATTTGAAACACAACCACCGTTTTACAGTTCTGTCCACGGATCACTAAAAGGTCAGTGTTCTTGCAGCAAAACAAAAACAAATCACTTAGGGATGTGTGTGAATTGTTTTCGTTTTGCTGGAAGAACGCACTCATTTTTTGTGATCCGTGGACAGGACTTTAAAATGGAGCTGGGTTTAAAATTTTGTAACTTAAAAAGTACATGGGGGATTTGAATTATTCTTTTACTAAAAGAAAGCTTATGAATTGGGCTTTCATGTCCTAGATTTGGAAAGTGCTACATGCAGAACTTTAATAAAACAATGGTCCCCACATTTGGGTTTCGTTTTCTTACTCACCCTGTATGACATCCATTAAGTGCCGCCAAAGGACACCCCTTCCCAAACGGCCCCGGTCACAAAAACATCATGATGAATAATAACGTTATTGTTGATCACGTTGGTGAATTACGTTTTGTAGTATAGTATTTGTAAGTAAACAAATAGTATAATTATTAAGCATTATTACGCAAATTATCAGAACTTTCTAACATAAAACGTTAAGTTATAAAAGAAGAGACCAACCGATGGAACGTAAAGTGTCTTTTTAACTACTACACAAAAAATATTTCGATCAATTAATATTTCATATTTCAAAACAAAGCAAAATAAAACTGTGGGTACCCCTTTCGTTAGCTTGAACAATTAACTCTGCAAATTCCTGCAAAACGCTGAAACGGATTTTGTTAATAAACAGGAATTATACGAACTTCTTTTTATCGATCTGATTTTGTGTCTGCAGTTGTTGAAGGACCTTCCACCGCCATTGTTATCATCGCTGTATGCTGTTGCTTTGGGCTGATTGTTTTCGTTGTATATGTCTGCCGTCGTGTCAGAAGTGAGTGTATTTTTGAGTGGTCGTAAGACAATCTACATGATCCTTTCTTGTGACATAACTTTATTTATAACTTTCCTGGGCTGTGTCTTACGAAATAGTTGTCAGCCCGAACAATCTGCAATTGTAACTCAACTTACCACTTTTTAGCTAATGATGGCGTTGTGACAGTTTATAATTACTTTTTATTCATAAATACCTAAGACAGTTTACCCATTCCTATTGGTCGAGAGCCCGTCACGTGGCCGGTCTTAAACGGATAAAAAAGACATGGCTAGCTGATCTTAAACATTTTTCACTGTCGCATGAAATGTTGAGTCCTAAAAATCTAGTGCCTCTTACAATTTTTTTTGGGTTGAACGTTCACAATCCTCTCGTAGGCATGCGCAATACTACCTATGACATGCGCAATACTACCAATAAGTAAGTACTTTAGAGTCCTTAATTCACTACGAAACGCACCAAGGTGCATTCTGCGCGACATTGCGCACGCCAATCTCCATAAAATGAGTTGTTCACATGTTATTCGCGAGCTGGACACTCCATTATTTAGCTAGAGGGGTGTTTCAAGAAACATGAAGTGAACTTGTTGAACAAAATCGTTTTTTTTTACCAAAAAAAAAACTTGCCTTCGGCTCGGATAATTATCAGCATCCAGACTCCAAGCGGTCTGAAGCAGAGTGATGAAACCTCCAAAGCGCACATTTATTCCCTTTATTAAAAATACACAGATAGGAGAGTCTCTTGCCACGTTTTTAGAACTGTTAATAGCGGGTGGAAAGGATGAGAGTTTTGGGGGTATTTAATTGGATGATTCGATTTTTTGAGGTCTCACTCACTTTTGATCTATTTTTCCCCTTGTAGTGGTGAGAATGAAGACCAAACTGAATGCTTTAGAAGAAGACCTACTGAACTACGTTCAATGCAGAAAAAAAACAATCGAAATGCTAGGGAAAGTTGCTGATGATCTCATGGGCTTTTATAGCAAATCTAGAACACAACAGGTAAGTGTATGAATTGACAAAACTACATTAAAACAATTTTGCAAAATCAGAAGTACATACTTCAGTCTGGCTCCGGCGTGCTACCAAATTATATTTAGAATTTTTCCTTTCTTAAACAAAACTATAAATTGTGTTGAAACTCAAATAATGCCGTCACAAATAATGCCGTCACAAATTGTCCTTATTTAGGTTGTTAAGGGGGTAATCGTTGGTGTCGCAGCTGCGTTCTTCACCGTGATGGGCCTCATTTCTGTTCCAGTCGCCGTTGTGGCAGGTATGGCTACAGTAGTAAAAGGTACAAATGTAGAAGTAAAGGAATCGGAAGACGCAAAGGATCAGGTAAACAAAATACTGTCCGAGGATCGCAACGCTTACGAACAAGTGGAACATCGTTTAAGACATATTGGTAAAGCAGCCTTTACATGTAAAACAGCTTTTACATGTAAAACAGCTACTTCCATTTACGAATTTGTGAGGGTGGTCGGTAAGGTTGAATTAGCCGTTGAGCAATCGACAATAAAAGAAATTACTAAGACTGGAAAGGATAAGGCTTGTAAAAGTGTCTTGTTCTCTGTCACTGCCATCCCGGTCGATCTCCACTCTGTAATTCAATCTTCTGCGAACTCAGAGAATGATGTTTTCCCACAAGTGGCTCCGTCCATCTATCAGTTGATAAACAAATTGGACTGCCCGTCGGAAGAAGACATAAAGGGGTATATGCGTACAATCAAAATAAAAATGATGGTTAAGAAGTGCAGTAAGCAATCTGAAATATATGAAGTCTGATTTTTTGCAGTGTTTTAAATCTGTTTTTCGTTGCCGAACCTGTAAATAACGACTTTAGCAAGCCGGGTTCTATGCCAGACTAAGTTACCTCAATGCCCGATTTTGCGAGTGATGCATTGAAATGTGTACAGTGTACGTTTCTGCAGGGGATTAATTAGGATTCCAGAGTTTATAAAGTAAGACGGGATTATTATTATAATTTTTTTTTTGCGTGGGTTTTTTTTTTTTTTTTTTTTTTTTGGGGGGGGGGGGGCTTTTGTTGGCGCTGTCGTTATTTCTGTTGTACTTTTGTATGTTAACAGCAAGACGAAAGAGACAAATTAAACAATAAATATGAAATGAGGTTATGTTTTGTGAATAGATTGCGAGGCGATTCCTGGGAAAAAAATGCAGCTATAAGTCTAATTTGTGTGTTACGGGAAATCGATTTTTATATTATACGCTGATTGATATTTCTGGACTGCAAAAAAATCATGAGGCAATACATATGACAACAGCTGTATAATGTGTTTTGCACGTTATCTATCGTCACCGACACCACGAAGTAACACCCATCTACATACCAGTAAAAACTAGCAATCGGAGAAAACTAAAGTTTAACGCCTTCTAAAACAACAATTTGCGTCAAAACGAATGAGTAATTTCAGTTGGGTTTCTCGTTGTGGACACTTGATGAACTGAATTTATTAAATCTGCTGTTTTGCACCCGTTTGTGTATTAATCAAATAAGAAATAATAGAAAAAGATGAGTGTTAGTTCGTGAAACCGAAAAGGCTGCGAAACTGATTTTTTTTTGTTTTCACGAAGTAACACTCTTAATGTATTCAACACGAGAAAAGTGCAACTTCAGGTCAGCGCGCGCGCGCTCATACAACTTATTACAAGAAGAGTGTTACTTCGTGAAAACGTTTTTGCTCACTTATGAGCAGAGTGCGCGCCATGCATTGCAATGGTAAATGGAACTTGAGTGTTACTTCGTGAAAACGAAAACTGTCACTTTTGCGCACAAGTTGCCATGGATACTTAGCATAATTATAAAAGTAAAGCTCTTGAAGCTTTGAAACTTCGTGCAATGGTAGGCCTTGATGAATAATGTTTAAAAATAAAATAAAAATAAAATCGAAACAAATATGGTTTAACAACAGTGGCGTAGCCAGGAATTTTTCAGTGGGAGGGCGCTGGGGGGGGGGGGGGGGGGGCTGGAACATTTCATGGGGGGCGTCATGTAGATCAATGATATTTTTTTTAGAAACTCAAAATCTCAGGGGGGGGGGGCGACAAGATTTCACGGGGGCCCCCACGCCCATATTGATGAAAATACTTTTCCATTTTGGAGTACACATATGTTGAGCAAACATCAAAAGATGTTATCTGAACGTTTCTCAAATTAAATGATACAAAGCATGAGCTTTCAATCATATTTGTGTTTAACTTGCCGATTGACGGTCTTTCAAGTTAAGAAATATTCTGTTTTGTATTTTGACTTTACAGATAGAAAAATGAGGCAGCTTAATTTATTTGTGAATATGGTCTTAAAATAATTTGATTTAATTCGAAAAAGCAGATATCTCCCTAAATGTGCAAATGGAAAACTGAACGGTCTGGTCTTAAAATTGAACGCTTCTACGAATAACAAGTTCCGAAAACTAGCGATTATCGATGTATAGAAAAGTAGTGCCTACATGATTAATCTTTGCATTCAAATGTATCGATCGATTTTTAACTGTAGTTTACATCTATACATCAACCCGGGCTTCATCTATACCCATTGTACAGTCGTTGTACTCAGACCGAACAAGTTATTTAATAATTTAGTGAAAATACATATTAGGCCTATTCAGTGCAAATCTTTGACTACGTGTAAATTGTGATCGCAATAAATGTAAGTATGCAAAAATAGATCGAAAGGGGTTTGTGTTCATTTATTCCGAATAATGAAAACAAATCATTGAATAAAGGATGTTACGTAAAACAAAATCAAAATTCTTAACCAACAAATGTCAACCAATACTT